GTTCAGCATCAAGTTCCTCGCCTGATTAGAAAAGAAGAGATGCAACACTAGCATGCTTGTGCGATTGGAGATATGTACCAATGGAAATAACATTATCGACATCTGTAGGGTTCAACTCGGTCTCTTTAAAGCAGTAGCTTGAAGGGGGAAGTTGATAATGGTCAAATGACCAATACAAGGGAAATTTTCCCTCTACATCCTCGGTACCACAGTTATCAAGAAACCATACGCTCTGGCCGAAATGTGCAGAAATTTTAAAGAACTTGTCTTTAAGGTTCTTGAAAGAGTCAGTGTAAAATCGGAAGAGTTTGTGACCAGGGATACCTCGAATGGTAACCCAACCTTTTCGTTTTGCCTGTTCACGATCGGTTCGAGGGGTAAGGACTTGGAAAAAGAAAAAGAAAACACAAACAGAAGCAGGAAGAGCAAGGTATACACAAAAACGCTCAAAAGCCTTAATAAAACCCCAGCAGTTGGGGTGGAGTTGGGTAGGAGCTATTTGAAGATGATTGAGAAGGTCCATCTAGAACTCAGTCAAAGGGAATCAGATGCCAATTTGGGTCACGACATCCCGGTAGAAGAAAAAGAAATGAGATTCTTCTGAAGCTCTCCCAGAGCACACCGGTTCGTCTTCTCAAGGAGCGATTATGTCGTAATTTTCTAACTTCCCAACAGGAAGACCAGCCATATCACTGGAACTCATTTCGGAAGTGGTACTTAAAACCTCACAAGTAACCCAGGGAAACTGGGAAATTAAAGAGGCAGGAGGACACTCAGGGCATGACTCAGTGGAACCCGACTCTTCTACTACATCTGGGGAGGAGATGCCATAAAAACCTAAAACAAAGAAAATAACTTGATCAGAAGAAGAGAATGGGTATACCTGAATAAAAAATGCTTCTAGAAGAAGAATCGCTAGAGGATGAAGAAGTCGATATATCCGAGATCATAATGGGATCATCTGCCTCACCAGATGCAGAGGTAGATCCCGGGATATCTCTATGCCGGTAGCTAGCCAAAGTAGACTCCGCTAGAGAGTCACATCCTTGCTCAATAAGCTTGGGAACTTAGATAGACACAAGAATAACAAGGTCCAGCATTCTGGATAGAGGGAGATTGAGAGATACCCTGGGGGACTGATGTAGAACCCGAATGTGTCATAAGTAAACCACTGGAGGATTTAGAACTGGTTGGGGGAAAATGCTGGGGAGTACGTTGGCTCACAGATAGACGACTCCTACCCCGGGTGGATGAACCTCTATCCCGGCTCTGCCCTAATCCTTTATCAGATAACCCGAATCTCCTCTGGGATTTACCACCGCGATAAACATGAAGCATGGCCTCGCGCTCTTCCTCTTCAGTCCTTGGAATTCCCCACAACCAGAAATGAGCACCAGGGGGAATCTTTCTCAAAAAATCAGAATCTTCCTCTTTCTTCCTCTCACAATGCAGAGCTGAAGAAGGAGGGTTTTTCCCCCTCATCGTGTTAAATGATGCATACTAAAATGGAAGAAGTGAAGCAAGATGCAACACTTTGAATATATTTGGGGTGGAAGCAGTAAGGAGGAAAACCACCCGGCAAACAAATTTCCAGAATAAGGTTCGAAGAAAAAGAAACTCACAATAAAATGGCAAATATCTAAAATGTAGACAGCCAAATAAGAGTAATGCAGGAAAAAAGGATAAGGCTGATACAAGGAAATGGTAAATACCTGAAGGTGAAGAAGGTGAAATCCCAGAAGATGCAGAAAAGCACTTGCGGATGCTAACGCTTAGAGGAATTAGGGCAAAGAACTTCTTCAAGACAAGCAAAGTAAAAAACGAAAGAAAAGAAGGATGCATAATTATATAGGCGCAAGTGTAACTGCAGTAATCGTGGATGGCATGGGTTAGGGGTACCAGTGTCTTCTCACATATGGATAGTAACCGCAACAGTCATGGATGGCAAGAGTCAGGGGCACCAGCGTCATTGCACTTAAAAAAGCAATGATTAGACATCTGAAATGACGCTGCTAATAAATGTGCACGAAACTCGAAAATGGCATAAAACGGCTACAACACGTTATCACATGCGGCAAACAGCACGTGTCAGAATGAAATGAGTGCTGATGATGAATCGACACGAAAGATTGATGACACGGGTACTCGACAGCTCTTGGCCGGGTTACACGACTGATGCTTGAGGCAATCCGCCAGTTGGATCCCAACTGCTCAAGCACATTCGTTACCCGGTTACCCATTCGGAATATCTTGCCTGGTTCATGTATAACCCGCCTACAAACAAACTAGGGAAAATCATTCCCGGCCCCAAAACAAAGCTATAAACTCAGCGTGTGCGTAAAGAATGATGCTTGGGGGCAACACGCCGGTTGGATCCCAACTACTCAAGCACATCCCAAACTCGATATAGGAATACATCAAATATTTTTCTGGGTTGATGCTCAACCTGCCGAGATAAAGGACAGAGAAAAATTGTCCTTGATCCCAGAAATAAGCTACAGACTCAGAATATGTGTATAAGGGATGACGCTTGAGGGGCAACTCGCCAGTCGGATCCGTTGGATCCCAACTGCTCAAGCTCACCCCTAATCCAGAAAAATGGGATAGGAGAAATATCTTTCCGGGTTGATGCTTACTCGTCGACATAAGGGGCAAGAGATACCCCGGTGGAAAAAACTCCAAGATATAAGCAGGCAAAAAGTCTATAAAAGCCCAAAACACTCCCAACTCAGCAAGAGCCTAAAGCGAAAAAGCAACAAGGTTCACCCCGGCAACCCGGACACCCGGGTAGCCTGGCTGAGGGGAAACTGTTATGGCCCCATATAAGGGGCTCATTGAATGACAGGTCCAATAAGAGGCAATCCAAGATTCTAATCAAGTATGATTACGAATAGAATGCATCAAGGATACTAATCCTAATACGATAGCGTAGAAAACAGGTCAGGGCCCTCATCAGAGGCACTAAAGGCCCACGTCACATTACCCACAGGTAACTCCTATAAATAAGAGGTAAACCCTAAAGGTACGTAACACTCTCTCTCTCTTACTGTTATGCTGTCTCTATACGCACACACACGCCCCCTTTGGCTAACGTCGTTATTAGTTCATTGTACACAGTGATCTGCTTGACTCAAGGGTTCTCTCTCATAGATACCTTCGAGAGGGCACTAGATCCAATATCAGCATACCAGTCCATTGGACTAGACATCTCTGTCTCTAAGACAGAACAAAAACCAATATCAAACTAACAAGTCAAGGCAAGTTTGAAATAATTTACATAGGCCTAGCCCATTTAGACAAAAGTTTGACTCATTTGCACCCCTAAAGCTATATGAGTTACATTGATAAATGACAAAATTATATCTTTCTAATTGTATATTATTAACTCATAAGAGTTATAAAAGTTACATGTTGTTTCTTTGGGATCATGAACATCAATATAATTATAATATTTATAACATAAATAAAGTAGTTAAGAATATTTATCTCTTGATAGTCACTAATACTAGCTGCTCTATACACGTATAACTTTCAATTGAATTCTATATTAATCTTTTTACGATGTCGATTATTTTTTTCAAAAAATAATGAAAAATATACTATTAAATTTCAATATTTAGAATTCTTACTTATATTTGAATAATATTTATTTATTTGGGACAAGATATTTTGTCTATATTTTTTCGTGCTTATTTTACCTATTTCTCTCCAACATTATTAGATTACAATTTCACTAATTTTCACATTTTTTCTCTCCATCCATTGTTAATTGAGATTATAGTGTTAAAAAAAAATAGATAAAATAAGTATAAAAAAAAAGTAGACATATATCTTATCCCTTTTATAATCTATAAAGTCTGAAGTTAAAGTTGTGAAATCTTAGTGTAAGCAATTTTGAAACCCTCATTTATTGTCTCTTGGAGTATCCAACTTAAATAGTTTCTTTACAAACCACTAGCCTCACCAGCACTGAACCATTTTCGTTTTCTATTGAAACATTAATGGATGTATAACTTTCATTCACGCCACCTTTATTATTCTTGAGGTTGGATGCTTGTCCTCAAAATCCAAATCTATGAACAAAACCAAAAGAAAAACCCCGGGCTTGGGCCGCACATAGATAGGTTGCCAACTTCTGATACCAAACTTTGCAGTTTGTAAGAGGAAATAAATTTTTGTCTCGATGATCAGATAAACCCTTGCCGGAAAATAAAAACCATATTTTTGGAAATTTTTCTATTGCCAATGCTCAGAAAGAAGTTAGCTTATTTTCAAAAAAAGAAAAGAAAGAAGTCAGCTTGTAATAGTGCAAGGATAGCTGTGATTGAATAGGAATAATTTTTTTTTTTTAATAGAACTGAATGTGAATGATATTATAAACCCATTAATGATTAGAGCATTATAAAGAGGGCTTGAAAACCAGTTTATTAAAGGAAATCCAAGCAATGAATTCTGAGGTGCGAGACAACTTGACAACGCGTGAGATATAAGTTTGACATAAAATACCAGTTTATAAAATGAGGTAGGATCCTTTGACACCGGTGTCAAATTTGAAGTTTGACACCTCATCTGAGAGCCGTTAGATCAGAAAAGATCAACGACTCTGATTTGTAAGCATGTGATACCATCGATATTTTTCGATCTAACGACTCTAAGATGAGGTGTCAAACTTCAAATTTGACACCGGTGTCAAAGGATCCTACCTCTTATAAAATATATTCAAGTTAAACAACCTTATCTTTTGTGAAAGAGAAAAAAATGAGTTCCCAACACACTGCGAATGGTAATTGGATGTCAAGGGGTAAGCTGCACACTGTTTTGATTAATCATTTTCTACGTTTGAGATTGTACCCATAACTTAGCAGTTAGCATGATATTTTATCAAACATTAAGATTTTGATGAACCAATGGCTATTGAAAGTCTAAAGCATAAAATAGAATGAAGAATATCAAAATTAATATTCAACGAAGAGAGAAACGAGAATAAAGATTGTCTCAGACCTGTGCATTGCAAGCAAGAAACATCAGCAATTTTGTCCAAGAGATAGTTCACCATACAATGAGACACTAGAACAGAGCAGATAAAGGAAGGGGACAGGGATGAAACAAAAGGGCAGGGGATAATAAGGAAGAAGAACGATAGCTAGCATTTGGACTCAACAAACTGAACTACTTCTCTAAAATTAAATGTTTGAATCCCAAAAAGGATTTGAACCCAACAAACTGAACCACTAACACTTACATGCAATCCAAGCGAACAACAAATGTAGGACTTTCAAGAATACTTAGCAATATGAACCAGAGTGCCATGCTATTGCAGATGCTGACTTCAACATGCATTCTTTACCCGACAATGGTGTCTTCACTCTCTCGTGTATCCCCCATTTCCTGAGATCATCGGCAGAACAGTAGTCCATTTAACACCAACTGAACCACTGACACAATGACATGCAATCCAAGCGAACAACAAATGTAGGACTTCCAAGAATACTTAGCAATATGAACCAGAGAGCCATGCCATTGCAGATGCCGACTTCAACATGCATTCTTTACCCGACAATGGTGTCTTCACTCTCTTGTGTATCCCCCATTTCCTGTGATCTGTGGCAGAACAGTAGTCCATTTAACAAATTTATTTTGAACTATAAAAGACACATTATAAGATATCCTTCTAATCAAACTAAGCCATCGTTTACTGAATGGAAACCAACATCATTTAAAGAACACACATATACAAAGAATATAGAATAATTCTATATAACAGAATATATAATTCTGTTATAGATCGAGATAAGCAGAAAGTCTAACTTCATTCCACGTGGACGGACTAGAAAGTCAAACTTCTATTCCATGTAAAAAAGAAAAATCAAATAGAAGAGAAGGAAGTTTGGGAGTAAAAAGTCTAACTTTACTTCCATTGCATGTGATTCCACCAGTAGTCACAAACAAATAAAAAAGAAATGAATCATGCTTTTGCTTGAGTAAGAAAGAAGGATTTAAATAAACTATTAATTTTATTTTCTTCCTGAATTAAGCACAAATAAAGCTGACAAAACATCACAGATCTACAATCTACATCACCAACTACAAACTATAGAACACTAACAACAGAGCTGAAATACGAATCTTAACATAAGCTTTTTCGACATTTTACAAACTATTAAGCACAAATAAATCTGACATGTAGGAATCCTGAATTCTCAATTACTTATGTATAATATATTTCTGTATGAGCCACAAAAAAGATCCCTATATTTGGTATGATGTTAGACACAAGACTGTTGGATTTTTTTTTTATATATAAATCACCCTAATATCTTATACAATCATACTGATTTCAAGAATAAAGTGATTAAAAAATTATGTACTTCAATGCTCCCTAAAGCCAAGTTTGAATAATGTGTACCACACTCCTGTGCTTCTCTTCCCAATCCCTGAGATTTTGTAAAGGTCAACATACCTAAATAGTCCTTTTAAACAACTTTGAACTTAGAACTCAATTCAGTTTAATTTTTTATTCTTTGACATAATGAAGTCCAAAGCGCGTAAGATCATTATGCTTAAAATGAATATAATATTTTCTCTACGAAAAACGAAAAAAAAAAAAAAACACATTAAATAGGATTATATATAGACCGTGCAACCTTTTTCCATTAAAATCTAAGACAAGTCTATTCTTCAGCTTGTGAAGTTGCGGTGTAAGATTTTGATATCCTATAGAGACTAATATCCCAATATAACTTTGAAACGTTTGCATTGCAAGCAAGAAACAACAGCAATTTTGTTCAAGAGAAGATAAATGAAGGGGACAAAGATGAAACAAAAGGGCAGGGGATAACAAGGAATAAGAATGACAACTAACATTTAGACTCAACAAACAGAACTACTACTAATATTAAACGTATGAATCCCAAATAGGATTTGAACCCAACAAACTGACCCAGTAACACAAAATTGTGCTTTTTTCAGACATGCAATCCAAGCGAACAACAAATGTAGGACTTTCAAGAATACTAGTAATACGAACCAGAGAGCCATGCAATTTCAGATGCTGACTTCAACCTGCATTCTTTACCCGACAATGGTGACTTCACTTTCTTGTGTATACCCAATTTCCTGTGACCACTGGCATAACAGTAGTCCATTAAGGCAAATATGACACATAGCACAGATGAACAAAATAATAATTATAAAAGAATGGTTTTAATTATAAAAGTAACAAGTCCAACCAAAAAGAATGGTTTTTTTTTTTTAGTAGACGAACCAAAAAGAATTAAGAAATCCATTAAGCATAAACTATATATGAGAAACAACATTTAATTTAATTAGTATAATCTGTAAAGAAGAAAATCATGTCTCTAAATAGAAAAAAGAAAGTCTAAAGCAACAATTTACAAAAAAGCAAATATTAATACCTTAAACTTTTGACCTCTTTATCAGAGAATTCCTCTTCTCAAATTCATGAATGTAAACTCTTTTGATGTGCGATATTTTGGGCCAATCCGGTCCAACTTCATGCTGGTATCTTCTGTATAGTTCAGGACATTTTTCAATTACTAAATATTCAAGGTTGGGGAAGTGATGCATATCATTAGAGAGTGATTGCAACTTTGGACAATTCCCAATTGAAAGTATTTTGAGACAAGTCGAAGCTGACAACTGCTGGGGAAGCTCCTTCAGATTGTCACAGTTATCAATCTTCAAGGAATGTAATGTGGCCGCAGATCTTTGAAGCCATTGAGGCCAAGTCACCAGCTGTGGCAAATTACTAAGGTACAGTAATTTTAACCTTAACTCAAGAATTTGGTTATCAAGGTCCTTTGACAATTCCAACTTATCGCACTTCATAATATACAAATTCTCTAGGTTTGGAGTAGCACAAAGTGCCAAAGACTTAAGACTCCGACAAGTTTTAATAGTAAGCCATTTAAGATTAGGAAGTTGCATCCCTTCGAACAATGACTCCAAATTGTCACAAAAAGCTAAACTTAAAACTTCTAGAGAAGTCAATTTTTCAATATCTTTGTTCGGAAAATCAGATTGCTTTGTGCTTATACTCAAAACTCGAAGGCTAATCAAGTTTCCTATTCCTTTGGGCAGTGTTTGTAGCTTTGTGCATTCATGGAGGTTCAAAGCTTGCAGATTTTGGAGATTGCTCAATGAATTAGGGAGACTCTTCAGCTTTTGATTATTTGAAACACTGAGATATCTTAAATGTTTCAACTTACCAATAGAGCGGGGCAAACTCTCATACTCAGAATTAGATAATTGCAAAAATCGCAAGTATTTACACCTCGACACCAATGTATTCAAGAAAGCTTCATTGTTGGCTCCCACAGGAAAAAATATGGTTCTCAGACCTCTTGGAAAGGAAGTTTGACCAGGCAAATCATTTTTGACAAATGACAAATGATGGGCGTTCTCAAATATATTCTGACTACGGGAATTTATGAGTTGAAACTCATCCTTTGCAACAAACAATGCAAGATCTTGCACCAAATCGTGTAATTTAAATTGACAACCAGGACCATAGTCAATAAAACCTTGAAGAAAAGATCTTGAATGTAGCTCATGCAAAAATTCATTGCCAACATCATCCACTGTTTTGTTCTTGTTTGGTGATGGAAGAAATCCATGTGCCTCCCAAAGCCGAGTAACATGAGCATCGCAGAATACAAAGTCCTTTGGAAAAAGGGAGAAGCAAGCAAAACATCGTTTTAAATATGAAGGTAGTTGATCATAACTAAATTTTAAAGCAGGCAGAATGTCACCTTCATTTTGTGGTAAATTCCAAATCTCATTGTCTCTAACAGACTCCCAGTCTTTCATATCAACTTTCAAGAATAATGAACTCCCTAATGTTCTCACTGCCAATGGAAGCCCACCGCATTTTTTCACGATTTCTTTCCCAATCTCCAACAATTCTGGATACCTCCCCTCTTCTCCTTCTTTAAAAGCCCATTTGACAAATAGGGACAAGGAATCATCTTGAGAAAGGACTTCTAAATTGTAATATGAATTAGTGGTCATCATCATGGTAGCAATTGAGTGGCCACGTGTAGTTACAAGGACTTTACTTCCTTTAGCACCTCCTTGTAGTAAATTCCTCAACTCAACCCATTTAGCACGATCAGCGTTCCATACGTCATCCAAGACAACCAAGAACTTTTTACCAGCAAGTTTATTCCTTACTAAACGTTGTAGTTGCTCCACATCACAACTTTTAAAGCTCTCCAGGTGAGTTAGGGTAGGAGCAGAAATACTACTACCCGTATCATCTGACTTGAGAATTTTACGAAGCAAATCCTCAAGTTCAAAATGTTGAGACACACACACCCACATCTTTAAAGGGAAACACTTATCTATTCTCTCATCATTAAACACCAACTGTGCAAGTGTAGTCTTCCCCAAGCCTCCGATTCCCACGATGGGGATAACAGCGAGACTTTTATCCTCACCATGTTGTAACAAAAGCTCTAAAATTTTATCTTTATCATGTTCCCTTCCTATCACATCTGAAGCATCAACATGGGAGTGAGTCATTTCCCTCCTATGCACAACACGTGTATCATTCTCAATGGTTTGAAGGCCAAACTTATGCCTATCAGCGGCAACCATGTCTAATCTTTTTTTGATATCTTTTATTTGACTCGCCATTCTAAGACGATAAACAAGAGGAATTGAAGTTGAGAAGAACCAGCATACCTTTCTTGTGTTGCTACCGTTAGCGTTGACCACCTTCTTATGTAATGATTCATACTCATAATCATCGATTAGGTCTTCGGCATCATAGAAAACACGCTTAATCTGTCCGAGCCACACACGCAACTCATTGTTCTGTTGCTGCTTTTGCTCTGCATCCAACAGCACAGCTTTGATGAATGACACAGTTTCTTTGAGCTCTAGCAGATCTTCGTGCACACCCCGAACCAAAGAAGCTCCTTGAACAGCACGAGAAGCAATCTTAATAATGAGCGAGTCTGCGACGCTGAAGAGAAGGGGTTCGGCCATGACTTTGGGGGAGAGATGAAATAGCAGAGAGAAAGGAATGCAATTAACTTTTGCAATGTGGGGTCGGAAGAGGAGAATGTGTTCTGCAGATAAGGTTGTCTAGTATTTATTAGTCGGTGCTGATATTTTTAGGAGTAAAATGTTATTTTTGGTTCCTAATAAAAAATACGGTGGCCACTTTAGTTCTTTATAAAAATAAATTAGTCAGTTAGTCCCTAACAAATTTAAGGTGGACCCATTTTAGTCTTTTTGAGGGACTAATATAGGTCTTGTTTGAATTTGTGAGGGATCACAATTTCAACTAAATCAGTCCACTTTGAATTTGTTAGGGACTAATTGACTAATTTATTTTTGTAAAAGACTAAAGTGAAGATCGTATTTTTTATTAGGGACTAAAATTGATATTTACTATATTTTTAGAGTCGTTGCAACCAGTGTTTTAAAACACCACCCCACCCTCGGGTTGACCCGGGTCAACCCTGACCCCTCTCCTCTGAGGGTTGGGGTCACAAGTTGGACCCTTTATGCACATCGATCCCTCTGACCCCCAAAACTCAGTCGGGTTTCAGTGACTCCCGGGTCAGAGGGCTTGAAGGGGGTCATTGCATATTTTCTTTTTTAAAAACAAAAATTCCATGAAACAACATCGTTTTATTAAAAAAATAAAATAAAAATGCTTGCAAACCTAAAATTTATCGTTCTATTTACAAAAAAAAAAAAAAAAAACTTATCGTTCTATTCTTTTCAAGCGACCTAGACGTCTTCAATCTTCACCTCGCTGCTGTAAATCTTCTATAAAAGGTAAAAACTTACCCATTCAAATGAAATCTTTATGATCGTTGATGAAAAACAAAAACTCATTCTTATTTCCTTTAAATTTTTCTTTGTTAGAGACCTTCTCAAAAGAGGCAGAACCGGATCAGCGTAGTGATCCCATTAACTTGTGGTTGTAATTGATGAATTATGTTAAGTATATTTTGAATCTTTAATGATTGATGGTTTATTTTTTAATATTTTCATAGAGAATATATATATTTTTATCTTTTTAATATATAAAACCGGGTCAGCGTAGTGACCTGTGACCCCCCGGTTGAACCCGTGACCCCATGACCCCTGACCTCGGCCGGGTCGATGGCCGGACCGAGTTTTTAAACACTGGTTGCAACAACTCAATGGGCTGGCAAGTCACTATACATTTGTTTACAACACTGTACATACAAAAAAAATAAAGTCATTTTTGATCTCTAATAAAAAATGCAATTTTCACTTTCGTATCTTAAAAAAAATATGTATATTAGTCCCTTTTTAAATATTAAATTGGATCTTTATTGAATTTATGAGGAATCACATTTAAAAAAAATTAAAATTATAAAAGGACCAAAAATTAATTTGTTTTATTACAGACAAAAGTAAAAACCGTATTTTTTATTAGAAACCCAAAAAAAAAAACTTTACTCTAAAAAACATGTCAGATATCACTATTTGCATAATCGTTGTTAGGGGTGTAAATAGATTAGGCTAGAAGGCTTTGGCTTAAATAGGCTAGGTCTGTGTAAAAATTATTTGGTATGGCCTGACCTGTTAGCCTGTGCTAGCCTGACCTATATTTAAAATATAAAAGTTGTGGCCTAAACCTGTTAGCCTGTTTAAGCCTATTAAACATTCAATAATTAAAAGAATAATTAAAATAATATTACTTTATTATTCAAAATTATTAAAATATTAATTTTATTTAAAAAAATAATCTGATATAAGCCAGCCTGTAAGCTTATAGGTCCGACGTGTACAAAAAAGTCTATAGCCTGTTTTCTAACTATATTTTTTGAAAAGCCTAGGCATGTTCTATTTTACTATTTGTAATAGGTCAAGTTTGGCTTAATATAGACAAGATCGTAGATAGGGATGTGCATGGGTCGAACCGAACCGATTTTTTAAAAAATCGAACCGAATTGATTTAAATGGTTCGGTTCGGAAGTGGTTCGATTCGGTTCAAAACTGGTTCGGTTCGGAAGTGGTTCGGTTCGATGGAAAACAGTTCGGTTAGGAACTGGTTCGGAAACGGTTCGGGTCGATCCTCTTTTGAAAAGAAAAAAAATTAAAAGTTTAAAAAATAAAGTTATAAAAATCAATTTGGTCCGGTTTGAAAACAGTTCGGTTTGAAAACGATTCGGTTCAGTTCAAAATGGTTCGGTTCTTAAACTGGTTCTAAAGACCGGTTCGATTCTTGAACTAGTTCTTTAAAAATCGGTTCGGTTGATGAACTGATTTTTAAAAACCGATTATTTAAAGAGGCGGTTCGGTTCAGTTTTTTTTTGTTATTTTACACATCTCTAACTGTAGATCCCTGTAATCTAGTCTAACCCATTTACACCTCTAATCATTGCAATTAGAATGCGTAGATAATGCTTCCCTATTTTTCTAAAATTCACAATTAATTTTTTTTTTTTTCATTTATCAAACATCCGAGAGTGTTTTCCACTGAAAAGTTTTTTTTTCTTCTTATTCTCACCTCAATACAAAAACCTTAAGTAGGGAAATTTCTACAATACTTTCGTTTCAATCATTTTTTCATATATTTATTTCCCCAATAAAAATTAAACAGCAATATTGATACTATAGTTTAAGAGAAAAAAATTTGGGTTTGATTGGTAGTGGCATAGTAATTAAAATTTTAATTTTAATTTGTGTTTTTATGATTATTTTAATCAAAATAATTCCATCAAAATTTCAAACACTTTTAATTTTTATATTTTTTACATTAGGATTTCAAACACTTTTAATTTTTATATTTTTTACATTAAGATTTTATATTTTATAATTTTTTATCTTTTTTTAATTTTAGATAAAATTTCAATTTTAACAAAGATAGAAAGTGGTACGTACTATTCTAATAGGGAAAATGCGCTCCTAAAGTAGGTGTGGCGTGTAGCTAACCACTACTCAAAAGAAAGTAGGTGTAGTAGGCGTGTAGCTAACCACTAACTCAAAAGAAATAAAAAACAGCACGGCACCTTTTTCGATGATGGGACACTGACAGTTTGATCGCATCCCTTAGTTTATGGGTTTGCTTTCTCTGCGTTGTTGCGTAAATCAAAATTTTATAGTAGATAAAAAATAAAAACGGGTTCTATAATCTATTGAATTTTTTTTTTTTAGAAAAATATCAAAATCTACATTACATCCTGATAAATATGTGTAAGTTATAAAAAAATTTTATAATAACATGAGAAATATAATTGCCTTACTTTGTATATGTTCTCGTTAAGAAATAAGTGTAACTTTTAAAAAGAAAAGCTTGTGGGATTTTATTCTTTTTTAACATTTGCTTACTATGTTATTTTTGTCATTTATTTATGAGTTTTAATTTTTTCATGCAATAAAGAAAAATTTTCTCATATTATAAATAATTTTATATGGGCCCAAATTTATTAAAAAAGAAAAAGAAAATGTTGTATTAAAGAATTATTAATAGGACAAAATAATTTTTTACAGAATTTTTTTTTTTTTTTTTATTAAATGAAGAGGGCCAAAGCTCAAAAACACCATGAAGAGGGCCCATTAAACGTTGCCGCTGCAGTGCTCCATTGAAATTATGACAAGGGCAAGTGGGAAACAGTGGAAGAAACATAATTAGCTATAAGAAAGTAGGTGTAGTAGGCGTGTAGCGAACCACTGCCCAAAAGAAAGAAAAAACAACGCGGCATCCTTTTTCGATGATTGGGCAGGGGCGGACTTACATAAGTTACGGTGGGTTGGTCTTCCTTCTAAATATGAAAATATATTCTATTATATAATATGTAATGTTGTCCGAAAAAATAAAATTTTGAAAGTGTTTTTAAAAAATGAAAAACAAGTAATGTTATTCATAAAAAAAATGTTTCACTCGTTCATTGCATTCAATTAGAGATAATTATTATTTATCAGATTCAACCTGCCAGTATATGTGGCAGTTTTGTTTTTGGTCTGCTACCATCCCCAATCAATGTGTCTGACTTTTCTGTTGTATACAAAGAAGAGTTTAACTAGTCTGCATATTCACTCTACCTGTCAAATTTGTCTAGAGTTTGATTTTATATTGATTGATTATCTAATTTTCTTTTTATAATCATTAAAAATTTGTACAGATTGTCATGGCAGAACTCAGGAGAAGAGTATTTAAGTTTTGACTTTATTGGCAAAGAAAAAAAGTCAATAATAGTTGTCAATTATTAGTTTGGACTAAATGCTAAAAATAAATAACACATTAATTAATTTACTATGTCTTCTGCTAAATAATAGCTAAGGGAGAAAATAAGATTATAAAGAAATAAAAGAAAGTGCAGAGATTGGGGTAGGCATAGATTTTGCAGAGGTCATTTTGGCAATCTCTAAAAGATCAGTGATGTATTTGGTTTGACTCATATGAATGGTGGTAGGAGAGGTGTATACGGCTTCCAACCCAAGAAAGTAATGAAGTTGTCCTAGATCTTTAAGAGAGAAGATGTTGTTTAGTTGAGATATAAGAGAGGAAATTTCAGTAGAGTTGTTGCCAGTAATGAGTATGTCATCAACATACACAAGGATGTAAGTAGTAGAAGTGGAAGTGAACCGAGTGAACAATGAAGGATCAGATTTGGTGCTGTGAAATCCGAATTTGTGAAGAGTAAGGTTAAGAGTATTGAAACACGCACGAGGGGCCTGTTTGAGACCATAAAGGGCTTTGTTTAACTTGCAAACAAGATGAGGATTGTTGCTGGGAAAGCAATCAGGTTGCTGCATGAAGACAGCTTCATGTAAAGTGCCACAAAGAAAGGCATTGTTGAAATCGAACTGTCTGATGATCCAGCCTTTTGTGAGAGCAATGGAAAGAATGAGACGAATGGTGGAGGGTTTGATGACAGGACTGAATACTTCATCAAAGTCAAAACCCTCCCTTTGTTGAAAACCCTTTGCAACAAGACGAGCCTTGTATTTATGAATTGTTCCATTTGGTTGTCTCTTGATGCGAAAAATCCACTTGCAGCCAATGGGTTTGATGTT